GCATTACCCCAAATATGATATTCCAAGCCAGGGCTTTGAACTGGTTCATTCGAGTTCCATGCCCTACAATTTGACTGTATATTATCTTCATACGTCCCCTACATCCACTCTCATATATTCCTGACCTTGACTTTAATTTATGTATTTCTTCCTTTATTTTTACTTTCTCTTCTGTCCAACAGATAGAATCGTACGTCTGTGTTTTGATCTTGGTGCCTGTTGATTGGAGGTTTGGTTCAGAGCAGCGGATCCTCACCAGCCTAGTAGGTAGTTTCTAAACCAACCTGAGATGTTGTCAGTTATTAATGCCCACCTAGCTATAATCCCTTACATGACATAATTCTGGACTCTATGCCTGTGGCTATAACCCCACTTTAGAAGGAGCTCTGTGTTACAGGATTAAGGTCGGATGCATATTTACTACATGCAACTTTACTAGACCATGCCACTTAAGTCACTATCCTTTGTTCTCCTTAGATGTATGGTCTGCTTAGAGAAAAAAACCACAACTCCATCAAAGTCATTCCTCTGTGTATAAGAGCCACCTGCAAAGCAGGAACACAGAAAGAAATCCCACGACATCGGAATAAGAACATAATTGCAGATCTCTGTCTAAAGTAGCGGAGACCTAGACCAGAGGCGCCAAAACTTGCCGCACAGAGACTCTGAGAGAGAGCAAAGGAGCCAAGCCAAGACCACAGGCCGAGACAAGGAGACCATGAGACAGAACAGAAGATCCCTTTAGAGATGATGGGACTGCGGGGCAGAGCAATCGTCAGGATTCCTAGTCCATGCAGGCAGAGGCTGAAGACCAGAGACGCGGCTGCTACCCGAGCAGCGTTGTAACTGTGGACCCATGACTGCATCCTCACTGTTCACTGGTCGTGATGTGTGGTAGCCTGCTATGACTCCCCTTCATTGTGAGTATTGTCTCTGAGTTCTGTGTGGCCCCTGCAGTGACTGGTCGCACCCAACTGAGATATAGAATGGCTTGGGAGGAACAGATGGTGTCAGAATAGGTAAAGGGGGGTAGAGTGGGGAGGCAGATCTCACCGCAATCTTGTGGCAATAGGGAAGCCAGAAAAGGTAAGAAATTGTCACATTCTTTACCATTTCCCCCCCCACACACAACCCCTCTTCCAGCAGGATCCCTTTCGTATTCTGTAAATTTCTGTACCCACTACAGGAAGAAATCACTTTTCCCCCACCCTGGAAACAGTGCTCTCCAAGGTTGTGCGCCTCAGCCTAGGAGGCATACAGGTGTTCTTATGTGGAGCAGAAAAGGACATTCCGGGGAGCTAGACTAATAAGTCTCAGCCTTGTACATTCTGCCTGTGAGCTGGCTGATTGGTTGCCATGTACAGGCCACTTAACATTATACCCGTGTGGACACTGTGGGATGGGTTCAAGAGCTGCAGGTCCCTAGCAGTTGTTTCTCTTTCTCTTAGGCAAGAAGGAACCTCTTAGCTACCCAGGTGGTCCAGTAGGCATGGGCAGTGTGCATCCACAGCTATATTCACCTGCAATCCTGCTTCACATCGGGCCACATAGTGACACTTGGGTGCACACAGGCAACGGGTCCTTACCCCCCCACCCGCCCAGCACACACACAGACCAGCCTGTGCTCAGACTGTGGCAGCCCCGTGCACATGCACATAGGCAGATTTATTCTAAGGAACTCCATTGCTCTCAGAACTTGCCAATAACTGCTCCAGGTCAAATGCACAGCATCAGTTCTTTACATTCTGATTACTGGAGGACAACAAACTTGATCTCTGACTTGTTGACTATGGCATGTATGTTTATTATACAAATATGGTCAAAAGCAACATTTTCAGACTATTGAATAAGCATGAAACCAAACCCAAACCCACTGCCCATCCAGTTGATTTGGACTCCTGGTGGAGAGAATGTGGATGCTCCAAAGGGCTCGCAAGGCTGCACATCTTTACAGAAGTAAGCTGCGTCATCTTCCTCTTGATTGGTTTGGCCTATGTAGCTTTGGGTTAGAATTCCATTGTGGCCCAGAGCTCCTGAAAGGCACTTCTGGAAATGCCATAAGCCATGTGCAGTTTATGCATGGCTGCACCACACCAGAACTTTTAAACATAATTTCATCATTTCCACAGAAACATGTGAGAACTATTTAAGTGGATATGCTGTTGATAGAAAAAAAAACAGTAGATGACTTCTTATGGGAGGCATAGTGGTTATGCTAACCACAAGGTTGGCAGTTTGAAACCACCAGTCAATCCACAGAGAGAAGGTGAAGCTTTCTACTCCTATAAAGAGTTACAGTCTCAGAAACCCACAAGGGCAGTTCTACCCTGTCCAATAGTCTCACTAGGTGTCAGAATCCATGTGATGGCCATAGTTTGAAGGTCTTGGTATCCTTCTAGAGTCTTGGTGGCAGTTTGGTCACGTGCTTGACTACTGACAGACAAGTCGGCACTTTGAGCGTGCCAGTCCCTCTAAGGGAGGTAGGTAAGCTAGTCTTTTTTCTGTAAAGACCTTGACTTTGGAAGCCTTGTGTGGAAATTCTGCGTCGTGCTATAGGTAGTGGCTTGGCTTTTTGGTACTGGCTTTTTAATCCTTCTAGGATCCAATTTTCTTGTAATTAAAATGGGAATAATATAACAGTATTCACTTCGTGGAATTGTGAAAAGAGCTAAATTGTTAATATTTGTAATGCGTGAAACTTTAAATGTTTAATTAAATTTGTTCTTCATGTTATTATTTCATGACAAACTCGAGGGCATTCATCAACGATCAGCTAGCATATTTAGAAAAAATTTACAATGTATATTTAAATAAGCTGGAACAAAGAAAAAAAACTGGAGGGAAATAATGGAAATAGGGTTAATCCTATTCCCAATCATGAAGGAAGCAACCATTGTGGACCAAGGTGGTACCTCCTCTCATCCCCATGTACTTTACTTATTCCTTCTTGGCTACAAAACTCATATTTTCTTCATTCTAGAACTTTACCGTTTATGAATTCTAAATGTAAACTACCATGTTATGCTAAACTGTGACAGAGTAATGTTGCTGAATTTCCCAGCAGGGGAAGTAATTTTAGGATGGTGGTTTGGGAAAGAGGGAGGGAGATTTTGTAGAGATTTCCTACACATTATGAACTCTTAACACACATAGAAGGCTGTTCTTCATGGTCCTAAAGATACAACTGTGGGAAGACTCAAAGTTATCTTGTGCTACTGAATGCTTAAATGTCCCATGACACACATGTATGCTACCATTACAATGACTAAAGTTACTAATTAGAGCTGCAGCTAATTGGAAGTTGGACACTATGAAGCTACATAAGTAAGATTATTCCTATTTTATAGATGGGGACATTGAGACTCACCAAGGTTAGGTGACTTCTTGAAAACTATTGTTAAATCAGACACTATCAAATCCCTTATTCTTTCCATACCCGGCCTCACCCTCCCTTTTCTTCGCATATATCCCCCAAATATGATTTTTCTCAAACGCAATGCCTGTACATTGTACTTCACCTTAGTCATACATGCTTTATCGATCATCAAGCCATTTTTCCAAATATGAAATCACACATATAGATGTGATGGGAATGATTTAAAATAAATAATAATTAAGTGTACTTGCTTAAAATATCTTTTAAAACTTAGTTGTCCAAAACACATGCAACAAAAGTCCTATTTTAATTTTAGCTATTGCATTAGAACTTATATTTTGTTTGTAAGCATTATAAAGCATCCTGATATAATACATACGTAATATTAAATTATAGAGTATGATCATTTTGGAACAGGATGGTGGACTCCTCAACAGCATGAGCATGTGTTCACTTCTGAAGATTCAGCAACGACTTATAGAGAGAAGTTGGATGAATGGGGACTCGACAGGTCGGGAGAAGGACAGAAAGATCCATCGAGAGATGGAGAAGAGAGAGACACCGAGTGGGAGGGTGCCATGCCCGACTGGCATGCCAATGACTGAGTGAACACATTCGATACTACACATGGGCGTTTCAAAAAGTTCCTGAAACAATAGGATGCAAAATAATGGAAGCTTTCCATGAGCTTTTTGAAACTGCCTCAAGCTTCACACACTTTCCAAAATGTCGGAATAAGTGGTGGGTCCGCTTTGTCCTGGCTTAACGAAGCAATCAGCTTATTCTACTTTCTACCTAACTCATAGAAAATTAACATTTTAACTGCAATTGTAAAACATGACTCTTCCTGTCTTCTCTTCAGAACGTGGACCATATTTCCATAGCAATGATGATGTTTAGGATAATGAAAATAATGATCAAATAATTTAAACCAATAACGGTTAACTTTTATTTAGCATGTATAATTGTCCAGGTCATCTGCTTTATATAGATCATGTCCTGTGAACTGAAACGTATGAACACCTGCACTCTGAAGTGGTGGAGCCCCATGCACTAACATATCAGGAACCTTGGATGGCACAGTGGCTAATCCCTTGCCTGCTGACTGGTAGGTTGGAGGTTCTAGCCCATACAAGCACACCGTGGGAGAAAAGCTGTCCATCTACTCTCATAACGACCACAGCCAAGAAACCCTTAGGAGTCCATTCAGCTGTGCCATATGGGGCTCATCTTAGCCTGAATTGACTCGCTGGCACCATGATAACAACAGAGATACTCAGCAGATGGGTGGAGTGTCCGGAATTAACTGGCGAAGTTGATTCCTGGCTCCACCATGAAGTAACTCGGCTACCTTCGAAAACTTTCAACTTTTTAACTACCTCAGTTTCCCGTGTTCAACAAAGGGGAAAGGAATGACCTCTACCTCACATAATTCTCATGTGGAGGAAGTAGAATAATACATACAGCGTGCTTAAGAGAATACTTGGGTCATAATAAATACTCAAATCCGATACGATTATACCCATTTTGTGTAAATCCATTTAAAAATAACAAATTTCACTGCTTTATAGCATCTGTGACATGGCTAAAATCTTAGAGAACACAAAACAAATCACTGCTCTACCTGTGTATCCGGTTTTGCAGACACAGTTGAAGCCTCCTGGAAAATTCTGGCAAACAGCCCCATTCTTGCACGGACTGGGCAGGCACTCATTGATATCCCTCTCACAGGCTCTTCCCGTGAAGCCCTCCGGACAGCTGCAGGAAAATCCTCCCACTAAATTGTGGCAGGTCCCCCCATTGTGGCAAGGGGATGGAAGGCATTCGTCTATATCTACTTCACACCGGCTACCAGCATATCCTGGCAGACACTTGCACAAGAAAGGCGGCAGCGGCTCATTCCCTACAATGATGACGGGCAGACTCTCATGGCTCTTGAACGTGGGGCTCACAGCCAGCCTTCTGATGCAGGTCCCTCCATGCTGACACGGGCCGTGAAGGCACGCGTCGTGGTCCACAGATTCGACCTTGGCTCCACTCTGCCGGTGCAGGATTTCTTTGATGCTTTCAAAGAAGGTGGCTACACCACTGGGATTCACATACTGATTGTTACTCCGCTTCACAGCTGCCAAAAGAAATGTTCGATTGTTCTCTTCATAGGCACCATAGAGCTGCACCACCGTGCCCAGCCCTGTCAGCTGTGAACTGGCAATGCGCAGGAAATGAAGGTAGTGGTTGGTCAAGAAGTCCCTTACCGTCGGGACGCCAAGACGAAGGAGGATGCTGTTATCCACCGTCAGGTTGGAAAAGCCGGCAAAGAAAACTCTAATGTTGCTGGTGACTGGGCTGTGAACGCCATCATTGCTAAGGACCGTCAGGTCAAAAGTGCCATCTGTAGACCTTGCCTGAGCATTCAGATCGCAAGTGCCCCCGGGAATACTGAAAAGGCTTGTCACACCGGAACTAAAGGAACACTGGAAGCTGTCCAGCACATCTGGATCCTGTGGCTTCACAGAGCCTAAGATTCCACCAGGAAACAAGTTGCCGTAATAATGAACAAATATCTCCACGGTCCGAGACTGTGAAGGGTTGTCATTTTGGTCTATCACTGTGATATGCACAGTTCCCGTGGAAGACATTTGAGGAACGCCAGAATCCCTAGTAATCACGGACAGATAGAAGTCTGAAATCTGTTCTCTGTCAATCTCCCTGGTGGTGCTCAGGACACCAGCAGCATTCAGACTAAAGTAGTTGGTGGCGGGGCCTGTGCTCAGCAAGTAGTAGGTGAAGGGACCTTGATTTGGAGGGAGATCAGGATCAGTGGACTGAAGGGACATCACCAGAGTTCCGGGACGTTTGTTCTCCATGACTTCGCCTTCGCTGGTGATCAACATGGGCCCATTATCATTTATATCTTCCAGCGTGACCAATAAGGAGGCACTTCCTGTAGCAGAGGGTGTCCCTGCATCAACAGCCAGAACTGTGAGATTGTAAATGGGTAGAGTTTCTCTATCTAATTCTGCAGTTACCGTGATCTGGCCTGTCGGTGGATTAATGGAAAATGCGCCGTTCTCGTTTCCTGATTCGATGAAGTATGAAAACCTACTCCAGCTGGGGATGGAGTCGGAGTCGAAGGCACTGACAAAGGTCACATGCGTCCCAATCGGGACCCCTTCACTGATCTGAACATTGTAGACGTTTAGGCTGAAAACAGGTGGGTCATTGGCATCAAGCACGGTGACGTTCACAGTGACCTCGTCTATATCTGCGCCCCGAATGCTGCCAAAATTCTTGGCCAAGACTTTCAAGGAGACCCTTTCTTCTCTTTCTCTATCAAGAGGTCCAGAAACATAAATCTGTCCAGTCCTCTTATTGATCTGGAAACCCTTCTTCCTACTGCTACCAAAGATCAGATAGTGTACCTCCCCATCGGCGCCCAAGTCACGGTCACTGGCAAACACTTCTCCAACAAGAGTACCTTTGGGAGCTGCTTCTGAGATTTCAAAGTAGTAAAGTTTAGACACAAAGCGGGGGACATATTCATTTGTCCCCTTTAATTGTATGCTGACAGTGGCAAAGCTGCACCGTTCTTCATCGGGGACATTGAAGGCTTTCACTGTGAGGTGGTAGCTCTGCTTGGTTTCAAAATCCAAGAAGCCTTGCGTGGTGATGACGCCGGTGTTTGGGTCAATGACAAAGAGGTCACTGTCAGATGACTGTACGGTGTATGCAATCACCGCATTGGTTCCCGAGTCGGCATCTGTCGCATTTAGGTGGATAACAGTTGTCCCACTTGGGGCATTTTCCAAAACAGTAGGGAAATACTCGTCAGGGGTGAATACGGGGGTGTTGTCATTCACATCAATCACATTGACTGTCACACTGCAGTAACCAGTTCTTGCAACCCACCCTCCATCTGTCGCACTAATGGTCATCTCGTGTTTCTGGCACACCTCGTAATCAAGAGCCCTGGCGAGCACTAATACGCCCGTGGAAGAGTTGATGGCAAACACGCCTCCTTCGTTCCCTGAAGAAATGGCGTACGTAATCAAGCCATTCATCGCTGCGTCCCTGTCTCTTGCGGAAACAGTTCTGACAATGGCCCCGACACTATGGCTTTCAGGGATGGTAGCACTCATGTGGTTTTGAGAGAATTCTGGTGTATGGTAGTTTTCCTCAGTGACAATTATTTGAACAGTTGCTTGGGAGGAAAGTGGAGGGTTTCCTTTATCCTTTGCAGTGACTGTGATCAAAAAGTTTTGGTTCACATCAGAGATGAGGGGGGATGCTACTGATATCCATCCTGTGTGAGCCTCCAACTTAAATTTTCCTAAATGATTCCCGTTCGATATGAAATACTCCACCTCAGAATTCAATCCAAAATCTTTATCATCCACTGCTGCTACTTTGATTAGCTCGGTACCAACTTTAACATTTTTGGTGACTGGAGTAAAATATTTCAGTTTAAGAAATTGAGGTGCATTGTCATTACCATCCACGATATTGATGGTGACTGTTGTTTCACTCAGTAGGGATGGATTGCCTCGATCTGAGGAAGTCACTACAAAACTGTGCCGGTTGATGTGCACATTGCTGACGCCACTGACATTTTGGTATTTTAAAACCTGTTTATTGAAAATATCTCCTGTGGTGGCATTAATCCGGAAATATTCAGACTGAGATTTTATGAAGTAAAACACCTGTCCATTTGACCCTTCGTCTGGATCTGTGGCAGATACACGAGTCACTTTGGAGCCAATCTCAGTAAGTTCAGGGCAATCTAAGTAGTAAGAGGGTCTTGTAAATCTTGGAGCATTGTCGTTGACATCTGTCACAAATATCGTGACATCTGTACTTACAGTCCACCCGGAATCATGTGCTGAAACTCGGATTCTGTAGCGGTCTCTATCTTCTCTATTTAAAGGTCTACTAATGACAATATCTCCTGTGCTTGGATTAATTGTAAATGGCAGACTTGGGTCCATTATCGAATACCTGCTGATTGCATTCACCCCAATGTCTTCATCGGAAGTTGTGACTCGTGTAACTGTATAGCCCAAGGGGGAATTTTCAGGAACATGGGCACTAAAGATCTGAGAAAACCGAGGGGCATTATCATTTTCATCTAAAACGTTTATGATGACCTTAACTGAGGTACTCTGCGAAGGAGAACCTTTGTCAGAAGCCTTTACAGTGAGTCTATACTGAGAAATCTTTTCTCTGTCTAGAGGCCGGATGCTCGTAATTTCACCAGTAGCATGATTAATACTGAAACTATTTTCTTTGTTCCCATCAACAATTTCATAGTCTAACCGGCCATTTGGTCCACTGTCCTTGTCCATTGCTGAAACAGTAAGTATTTTTTGAGGAGAAAGATTTTCCAATATTTCTGATACAAAGGGATCTTCCTTAAAAATTGGGGAATTATCATTAACATCCAGGACAGTTACGTCAAGTTTCTCATAAGAGGAGAAAGGAGGGAAGCCTCCATCTCTGGCCTCTATCCAAACAATATATTTTTGTATCTTCTCAAAATCCAAAGGCTGACTGATGGACACTTGTCCTGTTAACTGATCGATGTGGAACGCATTGTCTAGGTTCCCACTTGCAATATAATAGGACAAAGGTTCTCCTCGGGTGGAGATTCCTGTAATGGTGGTGACAAGAGTGCCTATTGGCTGGTTTTCAGGAAACATAAAAGTTTGTTCGTTAGCTCGGATTTTAGGGAAATCGGCCTTGTTTGCAAATCTAACTGTCACTGTTGTATAATCTGCCTTTGGCAACGAGCCGCCATCTTTTACATGGACAGAAAATGTTACTTCGGAAGCTCCGCTTAGAGGTCCAGCAGCCATAATAGCTCCCCTCAGTGGGTCAATGTGAAATCTCTCAGAGTTTCTCCCCAAAAGAGAATAGTGCAGTTCAGAATTGACGCCAATGTCCGCATCCGTGACAGTCACTGCAAAGACGAAGGAACCTATAAAAGACGAAATGTGAAATGATCATCTTCAGATGCAAATTAGCCATATTTGGTAGTAGGCTAATAAACATAAAACACTGTCTTCCTGCTCAGAATAATTTTATTTTCTCAGAAACTGTGGATAATAATATGTTCGATATCTTCTCTGAGTAACCACCTCAAATCTGTGTAAAATAAAGTTCATTGACTGGCTTACATTTTTGTTCCTCAAAAGAACACATGCAGTCTGCCACACTTAAGATCGTTTAGTATGCCTTTGAGAAATGCACAGGGAAGAGAAACAGGTAATTTTTCAAATTATTGTTGCTAGGAGAAAAATCTGTGCGTATGCAATTCCCAACAAACAGCACAGTATGTGCTCTCTGCAACGAGCTATGTTTCATCCAATAAGGAGAGATCATTATTCTACTATGGCTTAAAATATCCTTGAATTACCATACATGTCATCATGTAAACGTGATATCTTTTCTGCTCGGGTTTTAATACCTGCTGTTGGTACCATACAATCCTTTTTCATGACATCATTGTTTTATCTGTGAAATACTATTGAACTAAACAACAAAACCAAAAACAAGCTCTCACTTTTATGGGGTCAATTCTGACTCACGGTGACGTAGTGAACTGCAGGACAGAGTGGACATGTCTTTGTGAGTTTCTAAGGTGGCCAATCTTTATGGAGGCAGAAAGCCTCATCTTTCGTGGAACAGTAACTGCCAAGACGAAGGTGGGTTTGAACTGCTGACCTGATGGCTAGCAGACCAAAACATTACCCACTATTCTACCAGGGCTCCTAACAATGTGTCTAAACCACAACTATATATAAATATATATGGTAGCCTTTTAATCCATTTTCACCAACTTTTCAAGCCCCCTAACTTATTTAAATCAAGTAGAACAACAATAAATAAATAAGAACTGAAGAAATATGAACCCAACTCCGATTCCAAAAGTTAGCTCTTGGAATACGAGCCAATGCAACAGATTGTGGAAGAAATGTGTAGATAAGCTGCCATAAGGAGAGTTTTTCAATCTTTCAATTTGGAAACTCTTCCCCAACATGCACTCCCACCCACAGAATAGTTTGCAGAAAAGTTGGTGGGGGTATGTTAAAACTGGCAATTCTGATGAATTTCAGAAATTCTAATGATACAAAGTTACTGATGTATCACTCTTTGCACCACCCACTAGATGTAATTAGCTTCATTTCCGGGAACACCCTTCCTTTTATGATCTCCATACTGAAATCTGTCCTCCGGATTGACGGATGCCATTGTTTCCATTGGAATCAATTAGGCATTTGCAAGTTGTGAAGATGCAAGAGCGCTGAGAAGGAGAATATTGGCTATATTTACTTTTTCTTCTATCTCAAAAACATTTTAAAGCACAGAAGATTAAATTGATTATGAGCTATAGCTGTACTTCGTCCATTTTTTAAAATGGCAGTTAAAAATGGCAGATTATTTGTGACGTTCTTAAGAGGGTAAGCTGATCCTTGGAAATAAGCAAATGAACCATCTGAATCGAAAAGAAGGACCAACATTGTCCACATACAAGTGGCTTACACATGACTTTTATACCTTGTTAACATAAACATTTCTATCTGGCAAAAAGGGGGTGAAAGAAGTGTTAGAATAGTTCATGCATTAGACATTTCTGAATATCTACACATGAACCATGAATGAGGTAACTAAAATCCACAAAGAACAATATAAAATTTCCATCTAAAACATTTTAGAATTATTTCAATCTGACAGACAATGTTTTTATGAGGTAGATGACATATAAAAAAGTGGTAATACCCCTCATCTTAGAGTAGGACGCTCTTAGATCAGGAATATTTTAATCATTTAAAATCACATTCTAGTCATTCAGTCACATTTAAGTAATGTTAATAAAGACTAATGAAAGATTTGCTAACTATAAAATCCTAAACAAAACATGTATGAGAAGAAAGAAGTGATTTACAAAGCCTCAATGTACTTTCATTTTAATAAGGTGAAACAAGTTGAATTTTGGAGGATTCAGAAACATATGTTGTATCAGAGATAGATATGTAAAAAATGAACATAAATCTCTTCATAGTAAATGCCCAATTTGCTTTTATCTGTATAGCACCAGAGCTGGTTTGATTACCTGGAGGGGTAGGAGATGGAATGTGTGTGACATATGGGTGATGTTGAAATCGTGGTGGGTTGTCATTGACATCAGTCACAGTGACAAGCACACTGGTAGAACTGGAAAGAGGTTCTGGGGATCCTGCATCACTGGAGACCACAACTAATGTATAATTCTCTTTCGTTTCCCTGTCTAGCAATGCACTGGTGATGATCTGTCCTGTGGATGGGTTGACGGTGAACTGAGCGTTTCCTCCAATTATCCTATAGCTAGACGAGGGAGGAGAGAGCAATCAATATATTTCTCAATAGTTTTAATAGTGTAGATATCTTCTCATTAAAACTTAAACATGGAATAATATATATTTAAATCATACTAAGATCATAACATAAAACAATATGGCTCAAAGATAAATATCTCCAATCTAACGTAAGCATCACATTGAAAACCTTCATTTAACATGCCAAAGACCATGAAGTAGGTCCTCTCAAGATTTTGGTTTCTCAAATCATGTAAGTCTTTTATATAAATCCAGGGGAAAAAAGTTGTTTTAAGTACATTATTTGCAAACATAAGTGAGAGCCTTTCTTTAATATCATGGTTATTATATTACACATGGATGATGTTACGCACTGTACACCACACTTTTCCAGGAGAGAACAGCCAGGGGTTTCATTCTCTAAAGAAAAATCACTATATTTGGCACATATTAACTTTCCAGAACAACTGAAGAGCTGATTATTTATACAAAGGCATTCCTAGTTACTAATTCTTGCATTTGTCAGTCCTCATATGGCCAGGCAGCTTTCCTGTTGTCAGGAGAGGTGTGGCAGCCCACGATATTTTGATGTTAACCAGATTGGCCAGCAGACAGGAGTTTCCATGGAAGATAGTTTTTTTCTTCTTTGTGAAGAATACATTTTATCACTAGCTATAAATATATAGTTGTGATTTTGTTACTGAGATGGGTTACACAGATCAAATCGCTAAGAAATAGCTTTAAAAGTTCCCCAAATCAGCTGTCATCCATAAATTGAAAATTTGGAAATTAACAGGAGGTAGAATTATTTATAAGTCTTCTTTTTTTAATACCAACAAACAAAAACGCTTGTTGGAATGAATGGGAGTTCGATGTGCTTCCATGCAAACATTCGCACAGCATGAGTCTCAGAGAAACAGCACACCAAAACCGGACACGACAGCCAGCGGAGGACATCCTCCTTCTATGCTCGCAGTTTGAAACAAACATTCTACATTTTTATCCTCGTTTACATTAATAATGATGTGCTGGGGAGCTGCAGTTAGAAACAATACCACTCCTATAAAACACAAAGTTATACACTATAAAAATATTAGAGACACAATTTGGATTAAAAGTGGTAACTCTATACATGAAATCTTGACATTGCACACATTTTTGACACATCTACATTTTAATTTCAGAAGTGAATGAGAATAGCAATGAATATATTTCCTGAACCAGAAATGACCCTTTTGATAAAGTACAGCTAACAACTTTAACAGCAGAAGAAATCTATTGCTTTCCTCAAAATAAAAATATTAGAAGTCTATAAATCCTTTGGTAAAGGTGCAAAATTTAGGACCCATGATGTAATCTGTTAACTAGCCTTTCTCAAAAAATGTACCTAAGCATCTGATTGTGAGAACTGTGTGACTGTGACGGCAGCACTTTGCTCTCAGGAACGTAGACACTACCAGCTAATAGGGAATAAAGGTAATTCATGCCAGTATATGCTTTCTGACACCTTTATGGTTCAATCAAATATCTGTCCCATTGAACTTTCAAAATTAAAAGTGAAATAAGAATGATGAGAAAAATGCTTTTGACATTTTGGATTTGATGGTTTGTACCTGACAAGGTCATGTTTTATTAGAAAGAGCAATGACTTGAAAGGACGAGGATTTTAGGTCTAATTCTGCTTCAAATAAATAATTCACTTAGGTTATGTAAGCTTCATATTATCTTTCACTTCTATTCTGCTGTACTTCTTATGGCTCATATGATTATCTGTTGAAAAGTGGAATACTGTACTTAATATTTATTTAAAATTAAAAATTTATTGTCACATTTTAATGTATTTAAACTATTTTTGGATGTTCTTAAAACTAATTTGTATCAAAGTGTATTTCAAATACTAGATATCTATCTATAGTACTGGGTTTTTGGGGGGGGGGTGTAAACTTATATTTTAAATTTAGGAAAGAAAGAGAGAAATGAATGGGTAGACTGCCCAGGTACTACAACCAGGCTTTCTAAGCTCTGAGTTCAGCTTCCATCCCTGGAACGGACATCTCACCGGCTTCCTAGGGCATTTTAACTTTATCTTAGGACTGTTAATGTTATGAGACTGTGTCTTCTGTTATTTCCCCAACATTTAAACAACTCTATCTGTCTTTAAATGTTTGCAGCATTGTGCTGAGTTCGCAGGCTGTTCTCAGGTAAACCTCAGAACAATGTTAAAAGTTTGATTTGATTTTATTCATTTTATAGGCCAATCCGAATCTAAGAGACAGATGTACAAAACAAAATGAAATCTAAAAAGGTAGCGCTACAATGTAAACTTCTGTATTTATCACTTCATCATGCACTTTTCCCCCATGATGCAAAAGCATGAAGAAAGTCTGAGGATGTAATGAAGACAAGAAATGTTATACCTGGCGGCTAAGGTCAAAATAAACATTAAATGAATGTGCGTTCAATGTTCATCAGTAACGATGTTGATTTTTTTTGGTTATAGAATACAAAATTACTGTTTGACATTAACAGCATAGGTTGAGACAATCTGTACCTGAAATCTTTTTTGTATCAGCACTGCTGCATTTGTAAAGCTAACTCATCTCCATTGTGTTTTCTATTTTTTTTCCTAGCCCCTCCCTGAGATCTACTACAGAGCTTTCATCTTGCCTCAAATTAAACATTGACATGCTAATATCAAGTTAGAGGTTCATACCCATTCACCACTCTGGAGGAAACGAGGAAGCTGCCTGCTCCAACAATGGTTTAGTTTCCAACACTCTATGGAGGACTCTCTCCCTGTCCTGCAGCCTCCCTCAGAGTTGACTTGATGCAGTGAGCCTGCTCTGGGTTTGGTGTTAGGATTTATAGAACGACAAGGCACGGTGCTGTGTTTGACTGAAATGCACCAACTTGTTGTGAGGTGTCATTGAGTTCGTCTGACTCATAACAGCCCCACATACACGGGGACAAAACACTGCTTCTAAAGAGCATTCTGGCTGCACTTTTTCCAAGACGATGTGCTTATCCTTTTGGCAGTCCATGGTGATGTCAATATTTTTTGCCAGGACCATAATTAACTGCATCAATTTTCTTTGGTCTTCCTTATTCAAAGTCCAACTTTCACATGCATATTAGGCAATGGAGAATCCTAAGGCTTGGGTTAGGACACAGGACAAGACAATATTTCATTGAGTTGTACATAGGTTGTCACGACATACATATGGTTGTCCACTCAAAGGCTAGTGTCTATCTAGAGTGCTAAATATTTCCCAGGGATTAGAGCAACAAAGATGGTCAGATACTGAGTTTATTTTTTTTCCAGCTATTATTATAAGTAGTGTTAATTTTTAAAAATCTTCATTCTAATCCTATTAAGTCAATTTTATCATGGTATCAATCCCAGGAATGTTCAGCATCGTAGTCTACTCTTTAATGAAAGGCTACTCTTTCATGTGGAACCATACCAACCTGATGACTGCATTTGCTGTGGCATCAGCGTCCGAGGCATTTACCAGCAAGACGTCGGTGCCGGTCGGAGCATCTTCCGGAATTGTTGTGAAATACATTTTACTAGCAAAAGTGGGGACATTGTCATTGATATCGTCTACTATGACATTGATTGTTCCAGTTCCAGTTAGGGCAGGGGATCCTGGAAAATAAAAATAAAAAGTCTTAACATTGACCAACAAAAACATTAGAATACATTTAATAATAATTTATCTACTGCATCACTGAAGAAGTTTTAGAATGCATTGTATCCAAAGAAAATTTCAGAGCACATAAAACCAGTGAATGAACAATTTTTTGCAAAACTAAAACTGTACTGGAATTGGAACTTCGTCTTAGTGCTACTGCACAAAAAGTGTGCCATGCCCTGAATCTATTTTGAAGGGGCTGATTTGACAATGTAGAACAAAGCAATATGATTAAACTCCACAAAATAGCCATTTCTGGTGTTACTGAGATTACCTTAAAATAGCACAAACTAGATTTGGAGAATGCTCACAGGCGTGGAATAGCTGACCAACCTTCAAGGCAATGTGAAAGAGGTCCTCCTAGAAATGACTATCAACACAAATATAAAAGATGCTGGTGGGGTTTCTGAGGTTTGGAAGTGTCTTTTCCCTTGCTCACACTTGTTTGTAGAACAGACTTAAACTGATCATCTTTTACTTGCTAGGATAACTTTATGTTGAATCATTTGGGTTGGATCTCTTTTGTATTTAACATAACAGAGAGATAATTCATTCTTTTATTTTCAGCATCAGCTTGGTTACCAAAACACAGCCTGATAATGCCTCCTTGGGGATGTGACCTTTACTATAAGAAAGATAGTGAGAAAATCTCTCCCTATCTTTGGTCCTTCAATTTGCTCCTCCCTGGGACTTGGTGTCTGTCTCAAGGAGCAAACCCTTGTAGCCCACTTGATTTTAGGAAGGGTTGCCCTGCTGTCTTCTCACCAATCTTGGACCTATACAACTCTGTACCCACTGGTCTATGTTCTCCCTGTATCCCGCTTCACCTTTCTGTGTCATTGCCAGCACCTACATGCGTCTGGCTAGCATCGGGCTCATAAACTTGAGTTGAATTGACCAGAGATGATTTCTTGATATAAAATTACTCCTTGATACAAAGCTCTTTCATATATGTGTTAGGCTGGATTTTCAAGAGAAACAAAACCAGTTATATATATAAATCCTCACAAGTGTATGACCAGGTACCATCATTATAAATGGGGAAAAGTTTGAAGTTGTCAATAATTTCATTTCATGAGTCCACAATCAATATCCATGGAAGCAGTTGTCACAGAATCAAAGGGAGTATTGTATTAGACAGATCTGCTGCTGTCAACCTCTTTAGAGAGTTAGAAAGCCAGGATTTCACTTTGAAGATTTACGTCTACTTGATCCTAGCCATTGCATTTTCACTTGCTTTAGATGCATACAAAAGGTAGGTAATAAGGAAAATCAAAGCATAATTGATGTCCTTGAATTTTGCTAAGAATATTAGATACACCATAATCTGTCATACAAACAAATCTATCTTGGAAGAAGTAAGTTAGAATATTCCTTGAAGCAAGGGTAGAGAGACTTCCATCTCTTGGTCTTTGGGCACCTCATTAGGAGGGCACTGTCCTTGGAGAAGGGCATCATGCTTGGAAAAGTAAAGGGGCAGGGAAAAGGAGGAAGACTTTCTATTAGACAGATGGACACAGTGGCTACAATAGGCTGCAACATAGCAACCATTCCAAAGAGGGGGAGGGCCAGGCAGTGTTTCCTGCGAATGTCCAAAGGGTCACTATGGGTGGAAACCTGTGATAGAGAGCCTAGCAACAACATTGTTTCAAATGTTTGACTGACATTTTATAATACTGTGTTTAATTTCACATGGTTTGATGAAGTTGCATTTAATGAACTGAATTTTGTCTTCCTGTTGTCTGCTTTTAAAAATTAAGTAAAAACTTCACTCTAGTAAAAACAACTGTAAATTCCTATGGGTAAGCAGAGGATAAACCTTATATGTCCCCTGAGGGGAAGGATGTGAGGGGCTGTAGGCTTACTTGTTTGGTGTTTTAACCTTTTGTTGTTGTTGTTGTTGACATTTTTGTCTAATCGCTAAATCATAGTGTCCTCATCGATAAAATGGGAATAATTAAAATAAACCTAACCAAAGAAGTATTGAGGACAATAATCATGTCTGTCATATACTTATAATGTATATTTTATTGCTAACTATTGCTATTTTGCCTGTTTTAGAAACAATAACAATGGGGATTGACTAAAGTATAATAAGTTAATGTTTTGATTATATGGAATTCAATATCATAGCTCTCGGAATCCCCCTCAACTTACACAGCTTTTGACTACATTGCCATGGCTGTCTTTGTCAGCTGACATACAGTTGGCCAGTGACTCATGGTGATGCCATGCACAGCAGAGCAAAACACTTCACGGTACCGTGCCACACCCACAACTGCACATACATCAGAGTTGTTTCCAAAGGGTTGTCATTTTTCCGAAGTAGACCACCAGTCCTTTCTTCCTCATCATAGTGTGGGAGCTCTGGAAAACCTCACCTTCATTGCAATAGGCAAAGTACCACTGACACATGAGTGGTGCTGAATGTGAGGTATCGTCCTGGTATGGAAAATAACACTATGAACTTACCTCAATTCATCCTTTACTTGAGTCTAAAATGTTAAGTTTATTTGTTCTTATTGTGGAGATTATACACAAGAAAACATACTTATTCAAGTTTGCACATGTACCATTTACTGACACGAATTATACTTTTCATGTTGTCTAATCGTTCTCACAGCCCTTTGGGGTTGTCCCTCCCCTCAACATAAATCCACTGCCCACTCAAGTTCTTATCATATTCTACAAATTGTCGCTGTGAATGTGGTACCAGATAGACAATTCTTAAAAGAGCAGAATGCTCAAGGCAGACTTCTGTTGTTGTTAGTGAAATTTGACTATTATTGTATTTTAAGAAGATTCTGGAGGTACTTTTTAAATTTAAATTGCAGCATCATCTCAGGGCAATAGTTTCAACCTTTGTTGTACCAAACAGGGCGGAATCCATAACAATTTTAAATTATGTTCTCTATTTTCCCCTTTTGAGCAGAATTTACCAGTACAATCTTTATTGGGAAGTTCAGTGATGGTAGCCGTGTATTATCTAGTTCTTGTAGTATCAAAATGAGAGAGGAGTTGTTCATTGAGACAGCCAGTCACACAGGCCATGTCCGCCCATCCTGATTCTCTTGTTTCTGTCACTCCAAATTAATGGAGTCTAATTTTTGTGTCTGGATGGCAACTGGCAAGCTTTTAAGATTCAAGGCATTACAAACTAGGAGGTAGAACAGAAGGATTTAATATGTTAAGTGAATTAACTGGCAAGTCTCATGAAACCATGACCCTAAACCCTCAAACCAAGAAACCAATCCCCATGATTTGGTTTGTATATAAGCAGCCTCAGAAGCAACTCCCTCTCTAGATATTTTTTTTTTTGGTATGTATATATAACTGCGGACACTTAGACTTTTTACAGACGTATAATTTATTGGCAATATTACTGTGGTGGTTATATAATTGCCTGTTAACTTGAAGATATGTAAAAGGGTAGGGGTGGTATTCCACCTGCCAATCAGGTCACAGCCTGATGGTGCCTATTTGTGGGCATGACTTACTCATAAGGAGGACCTTGGGAACATCCCACTCTCTCTCTCTGCCTTCACTACCCTGTTGGAGGACCCTGGTTGCTGCCAGAGCCTTGGAGATATGTCCACCACCATTGGATCCACAAGACTTTGCACCCACCAGCTAGTGATGGAAGGCCATGATTCATTCTGCATCATTGTATGTGGCTCAGTGAGTCTGAAAAGTGACTTGTGGATGAGCATCAGACTTATGGACTTGAGTTTGACTGGGCTGGGATGTTTAATTGGTGCATGATTATGTCTTGATATAAAACTCTTTCTTATACGTATATGAGTGTCTCTGGATTTGTTTCTCTAGACAACCCGGCCTAACACAATTACCCTTTACTCTTAATAACTTCTTTGTGGTATAAATATGTAAGAATCAAAGTTCTCATAAAATTTTACAGCTTCATAGAAGACACATTGAATTGGAAATTTTTGAATGTAAAGCTTTATAATTTAAAGTAATATGTAGGGATTTCTTGAATATTTCTAATATGTTCATTCATTTCCAATCCAAAAATCTGAGACTTGTTCAGAAAGAAACCTAGTAACCATCAGACAAAAGGTTTTATATTGGTATACTAAAGTGTCTGGTGACCCACAAATGGGAAACCACATAAAATGATGACTAACTCATTTGGTCAGAGACATGTGATTTAGTTCTTTGTTTATAAACTACATAAATACTGTAGCTGACACTTTTTCTGAATTAGTAAGCAAAAAGGGAAAAAAAAAAATGTTTACCCAGGAAACTATTCAGCAAGTACAGTCTCATTGTTTTCATGCCAGGGACTATCATGATTTTTCCAGAAAAACTTCTATTCAAAAGATAAAAGCAAGCCAGGGAAAACAAATATCCAAGTTTGAGAAGTGGTCCCTGCAGGCCACCCTTACATATACATGGGCCCTCTCCCAAAGCCAAAACTATTCCACAAGTAGCCTCCGTGTGGGCCGCCAGAACTCACTCGGTAAGAGAATCTTCTCGTTCTATTTTCTTCACAGTTCAAGAATGGATGAAGAATAGGGCAGAATCTCCCCAGCTGCCTCAATTTTTCTTTTTTCTGTCTTCCCCTCCACACCTCAATGTTGCAAAGGAAACTTTGCAGAAACATTGTTCTTTACTTTCTAAGTTCTTTCCTGAAATTTAACAAGCCCTCAATTTTAATTCTTCTACCATGATTTGGGGTTTTCATTCTTGAGGGTGAGGATTCCCATCCTGCCACCAGATTGCAACCCACTACTTGTCCATTGATAGCATGCACCTCAAAAAGTCACTGCTTCCAGTGTTGGGCAGAAAGATAAAAGCCAAGCCATAAAAATGTGTCTTAATTTCAAGTAAATGAGTCTCATTTGTACAGCCCTCCTTCCAGGGGAAGGAGACGCGTTCTCTAGTGCTCAAACATTCTAATCTTGACAAGTCCTCATTTCTGTTAGTAAGATGA